TTTTTTTATAATTTTTTCTATAAAAAATATTAAAAATATTCATGAAGTATCCTAATATATGTATTTTATTGGGAGAAGAGAAACTATTTTATATTAAGAGTTGCATTCCTCTGAAAAATATATAATAAAAATTATCAATGAATAATACTTTTATACCAGAGAGTGAATCAAAGCTTACGATATATTTGAACACTTCCTCTCAAAATAATTCATGTAGCATGGAGTATAATGATCAACAGTAACCACTCCATGGACCAGTACTGTGATGAACTTTGATTTATATTTAATAAGACGACAGAGACACGTGGCGGTCTGATTTTCAAGGTCTTCGAAGTATAAGTCTGGCGATTTGCTGGTATAGAAATTCTAAAGTAATGATAAAATAGACTTTTAGAATATATAAATTTGACGGCTTATCACACATCCTAGTGGTAGGTTGCCAAAAAACAAAACGATAATGACTATTTAATTTATTTCTCTTCCGGAATTTGGACAAGTATGTCTTCAAATGCACCAAAAACAATTTGTTTGGTAGTCAAATTTGGACGGTAAAGAAGATTTTTAGTTTAATATATAAATGGGGACGGTAAAGAAGATTTTTAGTTTAATACATAGTTAATGGTTAAAGAATAATATAAATTTAATTTTTTAAATTGAAATGATTTTTTATATAATATTAGAGTATATTCATGAATTAAATCTTATTATTTTTATTTTAATCAGTAAAAATTAAGTATAAAATAATAATAAATTTATATAACTTTTAAGTATAAAGAATTTTTATTTAAAAATATATATTAAAAAATAATATAAATTACATTTTAAATTTTTATTTAATCATTAAAATTTTTAAATTAAAATAATTATTTAATATAAATTTTTAAGTTAATATAATTACTTGGTAATAGTTAGAGAGAGAGCTTAACATCACGGGACAAATAGCTATTTCAAAGATGTATCTCTCAGTCAGGTGTGAATTGCCCGTGCCAGCTGTTTAATTACAGCCAAGTCTGTTCTTGGCTTTGCTTTTTTTTTTTTCTTTTTTTTTTCTAGGAAGTGTAGAGGGAAGTTTCTAATAATAAACGACTGGGAGTTAATATGTGAAAGAGCCAAATTGGACACAACTTTAAAGTGAAAAAAAAAAAAGTTTTTTGTCTTTGTATCTAAGCTTGATCCTCTATACATATGTTTGTCATTCCTGTGATGTGGTGGATATATAAATTAATTATGGTATGTATAAGTTAATCTAAACATCATAAATTATCAAAAAAAATAAAAAAATTAGTTGTAAATATGGACAGCGAGGTATGAAGGGAGTTCAAAGTTATCAACGTTAAACTCCCCAGTCCCCATCCATCTCTTTTAGAGCTTTTTTTTTCCAGCTAGCATAAAACTAGTAAAAAAAATCATAAACGAAGAGTGGAAAAATTAACTGAACATTTTTACCTGCTAAAGCTAACATTCGGACCGGAGAATCTGAGTGAAGTAACGATAATGATTTTCACAGGAAA